CACATTACTGTCTAGTTATCTGGTAATATTGAGAGCCACATTACTGACTAGTTATGCTGTAATATTGAGAGCCACATTACTGACTAGTTATGCAGTAACATTGAGAGCCACATTACTGACTAGTTATGCAGTAACATTGAGAGCCACATTACTGACTAGTTATGCAGTAACATTGAGAGCCACATTACTGACTAGTTATGCAGTAATATTGAGAGCCACATTACTGACTAGTTACTGTGGTAATATTGAGAACCACATTACTGACTAGTTCTGCGGTAATATTGAGAGCCACATTACTGGCTAGTTCTGCGGTAATATTGAGAGCCACATTACTAACCAGTTATGCGGTAACATTGAGAGCCACATGACTGACTAGTTATGCAGTGACATTACTGACTAGTTATGCGGTAATATTGAAAGCCATATTACTCACTAGTTATGCGGTAATAGTGAGAGCCACATTACTGACTATTTACGCGGTAACATTGAGAGCCACATTACTGAGTAATTATGTGGTAATATTGAGAGCCACATTACTGACTAGTTATGCAAGAAATATGTTTTTTGAGTTTTCTATATTCAAAGCTTGGTTTCTTTGTTTCGTGTTCTAAGTTTGTGTACCAACTAACAGCAAAGCGTCACGCAGATGAAAGTGGAAATTATCCATGTTTTTCAAAATGAGCACGAAAGGATATTAAATTTTAAGTGCATTACTATTGGATGATTTCTCATTCTAGTTACTTAGCATAAATGTTAATATAAAAGCCAAGACTGTGACAAATGATGACATGAATGTATTTCATATGTCAAGTACTAACACGCACCAAATCGTCTGTTTGTAGGGTTTATACCACGAGGAATACAGCAGTGTAGCTGTCATGTTTGCTTCCATTCCGAACTACATGGATTTTTACTCCGAGAATGTAATGAATGAGGACGGATTGAGATGTTTAATGGTATTGAATGAAATCATATGTGACTTTGACACGGTACGATTTATATGATTCAACATTTCTTATATTCTAAACGAAATTTTTAAACAGGTGATATTGGAGATTATTTCTATATAGTTTTTTAAATAATTATCTTTCATTACATTCTACTTAGAAAGATTCTCTCGAGATACATCTGATAGACATATGTTCTCAAATAAAACAAAATAAAATACCAGCAAAACGCTTTTCAATACACAGAAACGTTTCTGGGTATTTACCTGCTTGTTTTAAACTACATGAGACATTTAGTAACGAATGTAACGAACTATTTAGGCTAAGTGTCCAGTGAACAATTCCTTCTTTCCAACAGCTACTCTATCAACCCAACAACGCGCGAATCGAGAAGATCAAGACGATTGGAAGCACATACATGGCGGCGGTGGGGCTGCAACCTGGCAGAGGATCAACAGAGGTAAAACGTTTTAACATTCTAAACGATTGTGTTACCAGAAGTAGGTAAAAGATCGACAGAGGTAAAACGTTTTAACATTCTAAACGATTGTGTTACCAGAAGTAGGTAAAGGATGAACAGAGGTAAAGGTTTTAACTTTCTAAACGTTTGTGTTACCAGAAGTAGGTAAATGATCGACAGAGGTAAAACGTTTTAACATTCTAAACGATTGTGTTACCAGAAGTAGGTAAAGGATGAACAGAGGTAAAGGTTTTAACTTACTAAACGTTTGCGTTACCAGAAGTAGGTAAAGGATCAACAGCAGTAAAAAGTTCAAACTTTCTAAACGTTTGCGTTACCAGAAGTAGGTAAATGATCAAAAGAGGTAAAAGGTGTTGAGCTTCTAAACGATTACCTTGCCGAAACAGACGGAGTATCATCACGTGTTTATGTTACCATGAGCCAAAATATTATCTACAAAGGTAAAGTGTGTAGGTTATCTGTACGTTTATGTTACCAGGAGACCAAGGATCAACAAAGGTAAAGAGTGTTAGTTATGCTTATTTACCAGGAGACCAAGGATCAACAAAGGTAAAGAGTGTTAGTTATGTTTATGTTACCAGGAGACCAAGGATCAACAAAGGTAAAGACTGTTGGTTATGTTTATGTTACCAGGAGACCAAGGATCAACAAAGGTAAAGAGTGTTAGTTATGTTTATGTTACCAGGAGACCAAGGATCAACAAAGTTAAAAACTGTTGGTTATGTTTATGTTACCAGGAGACCAAGGATCAACAAAGGTAAAAACTGTTGGTTATGTTTATGTTTATTTTACCAGGATATCAAGGATCAAAAAAAGGTAAAAACTGTTGGTTATGTTTATGTTACCAGGAGACA